GTTGTTCTCAAAAGAAAGGTACCACCTAAAACAGGTGATCCAGGTATGTTTTCTATCCCTTGTAAGATTGGAAAAACTGAGATCACTAAGGCTATGCTAGATTTAGGAGCTGCTATTAATGTCATGCCACAATCAATATACGACTCTTTAAATCTAGGGCCTTTAAAAGAAACAGGAATTATTATTCAACTTGCTGATCGAACCTATGCTTATCCCGATGGTATGATAGAAGATGTACTAGTTCAAGTGAATGAATTGATTTTTCCTGTTGATTTTTATATTCTGGATATGCATGATGCGCACTGCTCTAATCCACCGCCTCTTTTGTTAGGAAGACCTTTTATGTGCACTGCAGGAACAAAGATAGATGTTAAAAAGGGCACACTCAGCTTGGAGTTTGATGGAGAAGAATTTCATTTCAATATTTTTAATCCCGTCAAATGTCCTGTTGAATCTAAATCGTTATATGCAATTAATGTTATTAATTTTGTGGTGCAGGAAACTTGTGAAGTTGGTAATGAGAATAAACGAAGAACTGTGTTGACAAAACAATTAGAGAAAAGACCAACTGGAGAGAATAAGAAAAGAAAAAAGATTGTCGAAAAGTGGAGATGGATTCCCAAGGGATCACCATTGCTGGCAGTGAAAAAATGTCATAAGGAGAATCAAAATTCTAAGCCGAAGAAAAAGTGTGTGGTCAATGGACATCGTCTTAAGTCATATTACGAGGGATTCCCACTTGAATCTGTAGAGTTGGTGTCTCTCGCCGATATCGAAGTTGAGGACTGAGACGCAACAAAGTCTAGCTCAAAGACTATAAAGAAAAGCGCTTTTTGGGAGACAACCCAAAATCATTTAATTGCTTTCTTTAATTTTATTTATTTTTATTATTTAATTGCTAATAACACTTTTGATAGTTTTGTTTGGTTTAGTCGCCGCCTCCAACCTCCGGCGCCGTCGACTTCTTCCTTCCCTGCTCAGTCATCGCCGATCACCACATCCGCTCCTCTAAATGGCTTGCGTTGGTTAGTTGTTTTCGTAGGACTCAGGAGAACTTCAAGCCTCCCTAAAAATCACGATCAAATGAAGAGGTGTTAACAAAGCTCCCAACTACTACACCCCCTATGGACTCCAGGGAAGTTCCTCTCTTCTTTTATTGCTTTCTTTACATTGAGGGCAATGCATACTTTAGGTGTGGGGAAAGATTTTTGTGCTATTTTTATGCCTGATTTGCTGTCTTTTCGCATGTTTTGAGATTAGTCTGAAGTGAGTCAAAGGTGATTTGTGTGATAGGTTAGTTTGGCATGACTAATGACATTTGATTGATGATATGTTGAGTCAAGTCGACGTTTGAACCCTGTGAGAATTTGAGCCTATGTTCCAAAAGTCACAGTAGAAAATAAATTGCATATATTCAAGCTTTTGGAAAATTTTTTCATGTGTGATTTGTAGTGCTCAATTAGATGACCTAGAACTTGAGTGATTATGCATGTTGAACTTGCAACTATTGGGTCTTGCGTTTTGAAAATGATAAGGGCACTAGGTAACCCATTAAGCCTTTCTTTATTACCCAGCACAATATATTCCCCTAGTTAGCCCATTTGAGCCTTCTTAGCCTATTTTTTCTTTTATAATAAATTTTTTTTTAGTCTCATACCCTTCTTTCGATTGAGCCTTCTCCGATTTGAACCCTATGTTAGAAAGAATTACTTTAAGTCCATGTTGTGATGCACTTTATTTCTTCGGCACTAGTTAGAAACGAACTTTGAGTACGAATAAGTCATAGTATGAAGGAATAACTGTGGGTAGTGTAGGTATATATATATATAGGCAAAAGCCAAAAAAAAAAAAACAAGAAATAAAAATTAAAAAATTAAAAAATAAAAAAAAAACAAAAAAAAAGAAGAAACAAAAAAAAAAGAAGAAACAAAAAAAAATAATACAAAAAAAATAAATAAATAATTATCTTAATAAAGTATTTTCATTTAATTTCATTATTAAAGTTTGGGTAGTGAATAGAGTAAGGATTTGATTGTTTATGCCGATTTTTTCTTCATGTGCTAGCATCGTATTCTTATTGTGTTCTTTTATGACATATTTTAGCCCTTGTATATCCTTTTTCCTACCCTGACCATAAGCTCCGTTACAACCCTTATTGAAAGTCCCTTTGATTCTTTATGCTATATTCAAATATTTTAAGTAAGGGAGATTTCATTTTTACTCAAGCCTATAGGATAATCTGTTGTTGCACTACCTGAGTGTTGAGCCAATTATACATTTAATTCCTTCAGAGAGCATGTGAGAAAACACTTAATCTTGTGAGGTTGACTTGGCATGATGTGTTAAAAGTCGGATTGAATTGGTTGTGTTGGATCTTCTTGTCATATCGAGTTGCCTGCGATTTCTTTGGCTTATTTCAAATTTATGCTTGAGGGCAAGCATGATCTAGGTGTGGGGAGAATTGATAGTTAGAAATCGCATGCGTTTTATATTCATATCATATGCGATAATTGGGTGATTTTGATTGGATTCTACTTAATTTATATGCGAATTGTTTATTTGCTGTGTGCAGAAGACAAATATTAAATTTGGCATAATTGGAAGAAAAAAGAAATAAAATTAATTAAAGGCCCAAAAGCCCATCTACAAAATAATTGGGGCAGACGTTAAATAAAAGGAGGGATCACACGTTTCAAAAGGGGGAGAACGGCTAGGGCAGATACGCACAGGAGCAGGAGACTGACAGATCCATAGATCGCGCAGGAGCAAATCGACAGAGAAGATTTCCCCCTCCCACTATGACTTCATCTTTCTCTTTTGTTCTTTGTTATTTAATTATGGAGTAGATGCTTTTCTGGTTTGAGGGTGATAATGTTTTGGTTCTTTTGTTTTGAAGATTCTTGATTTTCTTTATAAAAGTTCTTTTTTATTATCAATATTTGTCTAATTCTGAGAATAGCGTTTGTGATTGTTAGATTGATTGAATATTTTGGTACCGATATTTAAATTAGTCTGATAATCTAAAGTCAATTCAAGTAGGATATTCGTAATTGTATTCGCACTTGAATAGGTGACAACCGGGTTGAATAGTTCCTTCCCGGGGATTAGACAATCAAATCTAATTGCTTCTCTTAGGTAGTAATTGTTTTGAATTTGGTTTTTCTAGATTACAATGCGGTTAGGCAATATTCTTATGGGCGCACCTAGGTTTATTTGCTTAATTAGGGGTAGTTAACGGTCGTACCTTAATTACCTACACTGTAAGGAAAAATTGGTTGTCAGAGCTTGTTGATAACTATAACCAATTTATTGATACTTTAATAAGAATTAATTTTATTGAATTAATGATAAAACATAAGTGCCATAACTGCATCATCCCTTGAGTCAGACATCCCCTTGATAGTCAGTTCCCCTTTAATTTAATTGATTTGTTATTTTATTTTAATTAGATAATAAAATAAAATTCCCCTTTATTTACTGCATTATAATACGAAAGAGTGAATCACACAATCCCTGTGGAGACGATCCCTTCCCCTATATTACATTAAATTGTGATCACGGAGTAGGTAAAATATTTGATTGACCGCGCGATAGGTCAATCCACATATTGTTGAATACCGTAAGACTTTAAGAGAATTTTAAAAGTCTGGATTGAATACTAAAGACTTTAAATGACTTTTAAAAGTGTTGATTGAATACCTCCAAAATTTAAAAAACTTATAAAAATCTTGACTGTATACATTTGAATTTTATAATTAAAGTCCATCAAAATTCTACATAGTCTTGATTGAATACACCCCTACATATAGTTATTTATTGCAGAAATCCGCAACAATATATATTATCTATCCTAATTAATTAATGTATTTTGTTGTAACAATTGGATACCTTTCTAGTAGTACTATGCCTAATTAAACAATTAACACAATAAGTTGTATAACTAGATAGGAGTGTTTACCGTAAGATACATTATCAATTCTATAAGAATGGAATACGTCACAGACATACTAACACGTACAGATTAGCATCATAATACATGCAATAAAATAAAAAAATTAGAAGAGAGAGAGAACATTGAAGATTTTTTTTTTTTAAAATTTTTTCTGATAGGATTTTGATTTAAAACTAAGATACAAGTATCCCTATTTCATTTAATATACTCTATCCGTCCGTCTCTAATAGTTATATTTACCTTTTGTAATGTTGTATTTAACATTAACTTATATTTGTATGATTTTTTTGACAAATGTCATATAATAATTAATATTCAAATATCAACATGCAAAAAATAAATGCAATCCTTGAAGCCTGGATGAACGTAGTATATATTTTTCTTCATCCCACAAAGTTTGGATTTTGGAATTTATTTGATTATTATCATTATTTTTTTTTATTGAAATAGTTTTTTGATATAATGTTTTAAAAATAAAAATAATTTTTAATATAATATAAAAAATAAGTATTTAATTTTCTTGGTTTTTGGAGTATGAAAGGGAAATTTGATAGAATAATAAAAATCCACCAAAATCACTCAAACAAACTCAACATTTAAGGTCCACTTAAACTCTTATTGATATGAGTTATTTATTTTCAGACATGAATGTATCAGAATGTTTAATTAAATTTTTATTGATGAAACCGTTATGTTGTTTCAAATAAAGATTCCAATCTAGGTCACTACAGAAACACAGTTTTCAACCCAAACCATTTTTAACTTTAATCTAAAATTTGTAACAAAAATAACATGTAAATTCAACGAGGACAGCAAAAAATATCTCAATATAATTAACTTCTACGAGCCTAAATTTAAGTCCAATACTTTTCCCCTCTTGCTTAACCTTAGCTCCCATACCCTAAGTCTAAACCGTAATACATATTCATTGAATGCTTATTGATCAAGTTGCATGAATACGTAATATAAAGTGATGGTGCGAAGTGATTAATTTGTAGCAAGTAAGATTTAAGCTTCATACATCATATCAATTACCTTCTCCTTAGGAATGGAAATTCTAACACTAAGCTCCTCCTCCACCACCACCACCCCACTATTTGCACGGTTGCCACCGGCTGCATCTGCCACTTCCCCAAAGGGACGAATTATTGCAGCTGCCATCGCGGCTAAGGTGCCGCCATCCTATCAAATTACCCACTCAATGGCACCCGAGAAAGTAGAAGTGTTCAAGTCACTAGAACCATGGGCAACTAGAACTTTGCTCCCTCTCCTTAAACCAGTCGAGAAATGTTGGCAACCTTCTGATTTCCTTCCTGATCCATCATTGCCCAATGATGAATTTACGGACAAAGTTTTGTCTCTGCGAAAGTCTTCCAATGGACTACCCAATGAGTACTTTGTTGTGCTAGTTGGAGATATGGTTACTGAGGAAGCCATACCTACATATGAAAGTATGATAAATTTGTGGGATGGGATTAAGGATGACACCGGCGCTAGCCAAAGCCCGTGGGCTACTTGGACTCGGGGATGGACTGCCGAGGAGAATAGGCACGGCGATTTGCTTCGAAGTTATCTCTATCTTTCAGGCCGGGTCGATATGCTGAGCATTGAGAAAACTGTGCAGTATTTGATTGGTGCTGGAATGGTATGTTTGATCTCATATTTTGATTTGGTTATCAAGTTTTAACAAAGTTATGACATTTGTTGTGTTGTTAGTAGGAGTATATATGTTTGTTTTGAATTATTATGCTTGATAATATTAGTATAATCATTTCAAATAAAAATTTGAGGTGATGTAAACATAGCGTTTATTTTATTAATAAAAATTTAGTATTTGATATAATTTTTTTAAAAAAATTAAAATAATACCAAATACTCCAAAATGTTGTGTAACCAAAGATTATATCGAACTTAAAATCTATCAAGTATAATTATACCTTAATAAATTATAATTGATTCCTCTACTCAATGAAAGTAAATTATTCTTATGATAATTGCTAAGTGAGTCAAATCAACAAATAGTGATTTGACTTAATCAAACATTCAAACTAAAGCGCATGATAAACTTTGATAATATGAAAATAAGCATAATAACAATAAAAAAAATATATAAGAAGTTAGTAATGTAACTAATAATATAAAAATAACTTCCTAAGTTTATAGATGTCACAAGTTTTAATGTCTCGATAAGATATTATGGATCAACAAGAAATTACTTGTCATTTCTATTATTATTGTATGATATTATTTTTTGAAAATTACAATGAAATTTAAAATTATATATTAATTAATCAAAGATAAAATTCAAGTTCAAAAAAATCTAATTGATGTTTTTATCTCATATAATTCTCATTGTGTTTTAAATGATCTACTCGCAGAATATTGGTGTCGAAAATAACCCTTACTTAGGATATGTGTACGTTTCATTTCAAGAGCGCGCTACATTTATATCTCATGGAAACACGGCGAGGCTTGCCAAGGAGCATGGAGATCCAATTCTTGCAAACATATGTGGTACAATCGCAGCCGATGAAAAGCGCCATGAAAGTGCATACATAAAATTGGTAGATAAGCTATTGGAGATTGACCCAAATGCAACCATGGTAGCAATCGGTAACATGATGAGGAAGGGAATCACAATGCCGGCTCATTTAATGTACGATGGGCAAGACCCAAACCTTTATAATCATTTCTCAATGGTGGCAGCTCGAATCGGTGTTTATACACCTAAAGATTATGTGGAAATTTTGGAGTTCTTGGTCACGCGGTGGAACCTTGAGAAGATTCAGGGATTAGAAAGTGATGGGAGATGCGAGCAAGATTTTGTGTGCCGTCTAGTGCTTAAATTGCGAAAGTTGATAGAGTGGGAAGGCAATCGGGCGAAGAAGGAAAGCTCAAAGACGAAGTTTAGTTGGATTTTCAACAAAGAAATTATTATGTAGCTTCATATATTGTTTGCTTCTATTTCCATCACTGCTTCATCTACCTTTAGATTGACTATAGTGAGGTGCCAGGAATAAATTCATGTAATAATCACTACTATATCGATATATACATATATATTCAATGCATCGTAGTTTGTATTATTCAAAATTAAACAGACAATATATAATTTGAACTTTTTTACAATTTTATTTGTGTAATCAAATACCACAATAAAAAATACAATAGTCAGAGATTTGGCCAAAATAATATTTCCAAGTTACCAAAAAAAATTTCTTTGTTGCGAAATAGTTGTAGCTTACTGTATCTACTTAGTGAGGGCCAAACTTTTGTATTATTAGGCCTACCTAACTACAAATAGTTACCCTAAGGAATTACCAATGAATGCTGTAGGTAAACGGACCCTAACATTTAATAGTTCTTAGAGATAAATAACAATAAAACCTTCATAATAAATGATTTAGTACAATTTACTTCTAGCATAAATGATGTTCTACTTGTGTAATTAACAAGTTCTACAATATACTCATTATTCTTTTCCTTTTTTTTTTTTTTTGGTTGTACTCTTTACTAAATGAAGAAGCCGTGCTAATATTTTTGTGACACAAATAGGACAGTGGTTTTAATGGTAGCTACAAGGTGTCAATATGCAAGTTTTCAAATTTAATTAGTCCTTGTGTGGTGGAAAATTTATTAAAGCAAAGGGAAAAAATTACTTTGCTTCCATTGCAAATTACAATAATTTAGTCCAATTAATTAATTATTTATTTATTATTATTTGTCTCCTTCAAACTAAAGTTAGTCAACTCTAATTCCACCATAGTTGATACGGATTGAATACAACCGGATTGGCTTGGCTTGAATACTATCGTGTTGTATAACTCAGAAAGATGACTAAGCTCAACAGACAATCAACGCGACCATGTTGGATTTAACACCGTCGTGGTCATGACCCTGTTCTGAACGTGACTGTATGTTTCTGACTACGACCGTTTTCATGACCCTGTTCAGAATATGGTTGTATTTATACTCATGTTCACAGTTATTTCAAAACACCGTAAGTTCATGCCTGTGTTCAAGGTCCCGATGCGAACATATCATGCTCCTGTTTTGAAAATGACTAAATCCTAAGTCACGTTTACGATTCTATTATAAGCTTGATATATTCTAGGGTTACTTATGGCCACATTTTAGATCATCTTTACGTCTCTATGTATTCAAATTGTTATATATATATATATATATATCTATTTATCTAGTGTTTTTCACACAAAAAAAATAGTATATTTGTAACAGAATTTTATTCCTAAAGTTCACGTAGCTAACGTAATACTGTCTCTAATATCATTAGTAACAGAAAAAGTGGATTTAAGAACGAAAAAATCTTGTTACAAAATTAATATTTTTTTGTATTGTTTTACAATTATTTTAAAATATAAAAAAAATCATCAAATTTTAATATATTAAAAAATAATTGCAAAATAACAACAACAAAAATAATATATTTTTTAAATTTAACTAAAGTAATTTTAATTAATTAATTTTAATTTGAATAGAATCAAAATTGATTAAAAATTTTCAATTCTACAAAAATTGATTATTGTAATTTATAATGAAATAAAATTTTTTTTTTCTTAAAAGCAAAATTAAATATGTTCAAGAGCGTAAGAACACATATTTGTCGAAAGTTGCATACACTCAACTATTTATTATTATTATTATCATTATTATTATTATTCCTCTCCTTGATGAATGAATAATTTTGAAGTCGGGGAAATGACCTAAAAAGAAAACTCACTGACATGGTATCGGGTGATCCGAGCCCGAATATCAACGGACCAATCGCGATCCGTACTCGATCGAAGATATTACTTTGATTAGAGTTTGTGAGCCGTTGATTTTTAAATTAAATGTATGGTCAATATTATATTACGTCTTCTTAGCATATATTCTTTATATTCTACTTCTAAAACATTTATTCCATAAATTTTTGCAGGAAGTAACTACCACTTTGAAAAAGTTTCCTTCTTTTCGAAGAGATTCCAACCATCCATTGGAGTAATTCCAATCAACCGAAAGGGTTAATTTTTAGCCTTCGGAATGCAGCTTATGTGAGAGATGGAAGAAGCATTCACAAGCCTCAAACAGTTCGTGTGGATTCATGAAGGTGTTTGCTCGAGAGGAGTATTCGTCGATTGATTCCAAATTATCTGCCGGTTCATTTATTCGATTTCGTAGTTGATTCTTCTCTTGAATTGAGATTAGATGTCATGGATTTGATCCTATCCATGTCATAAAAATTTGGTATCAGAGCAGTTATCATACTTGCTTCGAGTTGATCTCAATGTGTTCGATCATATGTCTCAATGCCTTTTTTGATCCAATCGTTTTTTATCCAATCATATTTTGTTTGAAAATCTATAAATTCCAGTCCGTGATGAAGATTTGTTAAATTTTTTTTAATTGGAAATAGTTGATAATTGTTGGAAATGAATGCTAGTTCCAATCCATTGCTAGTTGTCAAATGTGAGTAGTGTTCTTGAATTTGATCTAAAAAACACAATTAGTAGTAATTTTTTTCGGCTCTAGCAAGTCTTGTTCGTAGTTTTCTAAGTGTGCTTAGGCCTTGATTAGTCAATATAGTTGAATTAGAGTCTAATCGCATCAAGGTGATCAAGGAATTGAGTGATTTGGGGGTGAATCGAGTGAAATTTGTGAAGTTTGTTGGTAGGTTGTATTTTGGTCGTAACTTTTGCATACAAACTCCGATTCTAGATTGTGAGGAGGTTTCGGAATCGTCATCGAATTTTTATACACTGAGAACTTCTTTGCAGTGTTTCGATCTCAAAATTTTCAAAAAATTCATAGAATACAGAGATCGGTCAGTACAAAGTTTGGGGGTTGAACTTTCTGTTTTCTGTTTTGAGCAGTCGGTTTGTTTTATTAACTGCGGTTGATTGGCTAGTGATTCTTGTTTGTGCTGTTAGATAACTACTTGAATTTAATTTTAAGTTTTGGAATCATGACATTTGGACGTGAATAGCCCTCTAAAATTGCATTTGAAGTTGACTGTTATGCACTGTCCTCTGTTTTGTTAAAAGGTGTGGAAAAATTGCATTGAAAGAGCCAAGATGGCAATCCAATTTTGAAAAAGGCATGCTCTAAACATCAAGTAAAAGCCTAGAGCATAAAAAATTAAAAATAAAAAAAACAGAGACAAAAAAAAAATAAAATTGAGCAGCACACCTTAGTATTCTATTACAGTGCATCGATTAATATTCTTGTAGTAGTCATGTCGTATTTTGAGGGTTCCTAGTCCGTGTTGTGGGAGTTTTTTCACTGGGTTTGTCTCTTGAGTGTGTTGAGAGGTTGTTGATGATTCTTATTCACCTGGTGTGTTAGGATTTTGATTTCGACTAGTTGCTTAATTGAGGAAAAGAATTTGTATTGACCTTTATTTGACATTCTGCATTTATAGTTTGGGGTCGAATCTTCTAGTTTTGTTCCCCTAGTTGATGCATCTGTATTTCATGCTTCTCTTGAGTATTGCATTTGAAGAATTCCAACGTTACGTTTTGAGGTAATTGCGCTCGTTTCTTCCCTTTCATGATAGTGGTTGTTTCTGATTTTTCCTTCTGAGTGTTGTGAGGGACAATGAGGATACTAAAATTTCGATATACATAAATAGTTTGTCTTTTGAGTGAAGGATGGCTTCTTTTGAACAAATGAAGGAACTATTGGAGTCTAATATGCAGCAGTTGGAAGCTAATATGGAGAAAACATTGTCCATGCAACAAAAAGGGACTTGGGATCATGTACAGTATACCATGAATAAAAAGTTGGATGATATCAATCATAGACTATCATCTTTGGAGAATGCTCGAACAGGGATCCCTTCTGGAGTAGCTGCTGCTGTGCAGGAAAAACAAGCCACGGCTGGATCTTCACATCACTGCGATTTGGTCCCTTCGATGAGGTCGGTCTCACACCATAGCAACAGTTCGGATTACTTGTTCAATGATCGAACTCATCATCGGCGCAGTGGGTTGGATGACGATCTCTCCACCATTAAGATTACCTTGTCCACTTTCGGAGGATTAGGCGGGGCGGAGGAGTTCCTTGATTGGGTAACCAAGTGTGATATAGCGTTCGACTGTCACAATTATTCGGAAGGCAAGAAATTTCGTATGGCAATCTGTGAGTTCAGAGATTATGCCTTGAATTGGTGGGAGAAGGAGAGACGTTATAGAGAGTGACATCAAAGAAATCCAATTGATACTTGGACGCGGCTGAAGGAGATCATGAGAAGACGCTTTGTGCCGGATAGTTTTGAGCGGGATATGAATATTAAGTTGCAATCCTTGGTGCAAGGTTCGGAGTCGGTAGAAGAGTATTTTAAGGAGCTAGAAATTTTGATGATGAGGTTGGACATTGATGAGAGTGAATCCTTGACAGAGGCTCGATTCATTAAGAGTTTGAGGCGTGAGATAGCAATATGGTTGAGCTGCACCATTTTCGTTCTCTTCAGGAAACTGTGGATTTGGGAATCAAACGGGAGAAGCAGCTCAAGAGACCAACATCAACCGGGCATTCGTATCAAAGGAAGTTTCCAACCAGCTCTGTAACTTCGTTCGTCTCTTCCACCGTTTCTAAGGGAGTAGTTTCCACAAAGTCTTTTGATAAAAATGTGGATAAAGACAAGGCGAAAATAGTAGACAAAAAGGATGATGCTGTTGTAAGGTTCAAGGGAAAGGAGTTAGGGCATAGGAAAGAAAAGATTGTGCCGTGTTATAAGTGCCATGGGTAAGGGCACTATGCAGGCCAATGTCCCAATAAGGGGGCTGTTATGATTTTAGAGAATGGCGAATGGGGTTATGTAGATGATGGCGATGGTGATAGAGATGGTGATCGCGTAGTAGTTGCTAAAGATAATGATGATGTTGTTGAGAAAGTTTGTGAGAAGGATCCTTTAAGTTTAGTGGTGATGCAAACCGTAGGGAAGATGAACAACGAGAAAATTTGTTCCATTGTCATTGCAAGGTAGCAGGGCGTACCATATTCATGATAGTTGATTCAGGCAGCTGCACTAATTTTGTTAGTTCGTAGATGGTAGAGAAGTTGTGTTTAAAT